GCAGTTTGACACTCCTGATCTAAAGTGACAAAGAGGTGAGTCTTAGGTTATCTTACAGTGACATCACATTAAAGGTGACATCACCTGCTATAAGCATCATGAAATTCCACATCTCCCAGCCAATCACAAGCTGACTGCAAAAATGCAGTTCATGTCATCTGCTGACAAAAAACAAAACAAAGCAAACACCTAGCTGTCCAGACTATATATGGGTAATCTCTGTAGAATATTCTGGTGAGATTTTGGCAAGCCAAATCCTATGTTCAAACACTGTTTTCAGCTGCCATTTGTGTTCTATTCTAGAAGAACTTCAGTAACCAATGATGGTACACCAAATGTCTAGAAATTGCTATTTAACAGCAATGCTGACCCAGTGTTTCATCCAGATAGTGGCTATGCACATTTGGTGATGCTTTTCTATCCCCCTGGCCTCCAATCCTTTTCCTTTCTTTGGCAGGTATCTACTGTAAAGGCCTGGCCTTTCTACTGATACACATTTTGTATGAGCCATCTGACACTCCCATTTGGTTCAGCAACATTGATAAAGAAACTCTGGAAGAATCTTACTTTCTGTGGAGGTGAACAGGACATTTAAACAAAATACAATAGCAGAAGTTCAGCACAGTCATTTAAGAGTTGAATGGTCTAGAAATATGGCAAATCAACACATTGTGTGTGTTCTTTTTCTTGGACTGGGTGTGTGAATGAGTACTAATTTGAAAGATTTTGTGGCTCCTTCTCCTCATTTATTTGAAAACTAGTCCTGTCATCACTAGGGATAGCTTTGCTGGACACCACATCTTTGACATTGGTGTGGAGAGGCTGCTGGTCAGTTTGTTGGGATCAAGGAAAATAATTAACTGGCAAGTGTTTCAACATCTTAATCAAAAGAAAATGAATCAAAAGCAATTTTGTTGAATCTGTCACAGCCTACCTCTACTCAAGCCTGGAGGGTTTTCCGGCTGCTGTCTCTATTCCAAATTCCCTACTTCCCTCCTCTTTCCCCTTTTCTTCATAATTACATTCAGAGAGGCACTTTGAGAGAGCTTCTCTGATCTGTTGCCATGGTTACACAGATGAAAGCGTTGTTAAAATTGCTAGAAAAATGCTGTCCTTTTAACAAAAATTCCATTCCATTTAATTTTTTTTCCTATCAGCACAGATAAAGTATTTGTCATGAGCCATCTAGCAGTAAAGGCTTTACTATGTACACAGAAGACAAAAACGGTGCTGTACTTAAAAATGTAACCATATTGAATTCATAGATACGCACTCACAGTGAAAGCTTACAGAATTGTAAAACATATTAATTCTTCCCAATGAAAAATAATGATCCTTTCTCTAGATTTCTTGACCCTTCCTCTCACCCCTGAGGGGAAAAAAACCTATCAGGTTAATTTTTATTTCTACTCTACAAATGCTAAAGTTCACTAACTCAATTTTTTCTGATCTGATGTTTTCCAGATGAGTTAGGATTAATATTTGCAGAATCTCCAGTTAGTCCAATGAGAGGAGTATTCTGGAAGTTGTAATTTCAACCCACTTGAAAGTTGCAAGACTATGGAATAGTGACTGACTGGAAACATTGGCCACTTCAAGCTTAATCCACGTTGGGATATCAGGTTGGAAGAATTTGAACAAAGTAGTCAATTAAATCTTTTTTAGTATTCTATTAATGCAGTAAATAAATTAATGAAGTAAAATTAGCTCATCTAGTCATGTTTCCTGTGCGGTTTACCTGGGAGGGCTGACAGCCAGTCACTTGATAGAAGCTTTTATCAACTTATTTGAGCATTTCGTGGCAGACTTTTGAAAAACAGACATTACAGTTTTGTTGCCTTCCTCAATGTAATTCAAAATAGAAAATCCATGTGGAAAACATATCATATTTCCAACACTGTTCAGTAAATAGATAAACCATGAGATAAACTCATAGTTTGATTCTGTTTTAAATAGGCAAATACATACTGTTCAGTAAGCTATGATTATCTTAGCAAATCAAGAGGAAGTAAGGGAGGAAAAATTTACTTGTCCTTATGTGCAGGCTAGCTCAAATTGGAAGCTGGATTGTTTAGGAATTTCCCCTCTTCTAATAAACCTGCAGTCAATGGAGATTATTAAGCTCATTTATCATCAGCTTGTCTTGGGAAGGCCAGTCAAGTATCATTAGTTAATATAAAGTTTCCAGACCTATTGTGTTTCCTTCATCAAGACCAGAAGTGGGCAACCTATAAATTCACATGCAATAACAAAACTAATTTCAAACACCATCTGCAAGAAATCAGTTTAGGCCTCTGGTAAGAGATATCTAACTTTTTCCTGCAATCAGGTCTAGCACAACTTGCTATGCATGACTGGATGCAGTTGTCTTGCCCCAGCTGACTCACCCTGGCCAACTTGCCATAGGATAACTTGCTGTATAACAATTCATTGTTCACTCAAGAGAGGGACAAAGAGAATTGCAATGGGCCTTGTCTTGCTTTAGGTTTGAACCTTCTCAAGTTAGGAGTTCTCAAGGTTGGGGCAAGCTGCAATTCTACTTGTGTCTCTCATGAGTTATCCCATATTGATTTGTCCTGCAGAGAGTTATCCTATGGACAAGTTGACTGGTGAGTTGTTGTCCCACAGGGAGTTGGTTGGGGTGAATCTACTGCTTGTGGGAGAAAAGAATCAAGAAAGAAGAAAGAATTCCCATACAATTTTGCGCTAGCCCCACCCACTCATTGTTTTAACCCCATGTACTGCCTGATAACCAACAAATTAACCTTTGGGGAATTTGACTCTTTCCAATTAGGAAGAGCCAGGGAACTCTGTTTAGGATTGTATTCAGAAAAATATGCAGCAACAGAAAAATAGTGTAATGGGAGGGGGGGAAGTATGCTACTTTTTAATATCACTAAATAAGAACAAATCTGTCATAGGCTTCTAATTGTCAGGAAAAAGAATCAGGACTATATGTTAAACTGAAGTTCAGAAGATGTATACATCTATACACAAGAAACCAGTCAACTAAAGTTCACCAATAAACTGGCACCCAAATATGAGTCAATGAAATTTAATGAAAATTGCATCCCTAGCACTAAATGAGGAACTTTAAAAGCATATTAGTGAAAAGCTCCACAAAGCAGGAAATGCACTGGAAAGGAAGTGAACAGCAGCAACAGCTAGCATACAGTACTAAATTTATTTACTCCTATGGCATGTAACAATTTGGGAACAGAACATCTGGCACCTCAAATTAAAACATTTTAAAATTAGGTCTTAACGAGCAGAAATAAAAACCAACAAATTGACTTTTTTTACATACAGTACTTCTCTAGTAAGGCATAGTGTAAATCAGCTATATAACAAGAGGCAATAAAAACAGATTTATTTACTACACTTCCTGTTACCAGTGATCAAGCAGAATATGGAAATTAATCTCTTATTCCAAACACACATTAGGCAACTCATAACTACAATGCAATTACCTACAGAAGCATTATGCAGAAAGTAGTATGCTAATATAGACTTTTGTGTAAGCAAGCTGCAAAGGAAGTTAGAAAGGTCAACCTCTTCCCTGGAAATGTAAGAGAGCCCAGCAGTCTCCAAGCAGTAAAAAATAATTTTCAAAATGTCTCTGCAATATGGTATTGCAATAAATCAGACAAATTAATTCCAAAATATTAATTTGTCCAAAACAATATTAAATTACAAATGAAATGTAAATTGAAATAACAGATAATGGTAGAAATCACACCGAATGCAAGGCTGAAAAATCAAGAAGGCTATCAAGGGATGCTTTTTCCCCAATATGGGATTGTCGACCCCATTGTCTTTTGCTCCCTTCATAGATATTATAGGTAATCCCATTTCTTTGGCACATTGAATGCACACATATTCAAGTTAAACTTCAGAGATCCTAAATTTCTAGCTTTGGTGAGCCAACAGACTAAGTACTACAATTAATGTATCTCTTATGAAGAGATAGTATTTATGTCTTAAATGTTTAAAAAAATGATAAATTCACATGAAAAGAAAATTACTACTAATGATGAAAAATCATTAAGGATTTATTTTGTGTCTAATATAACATAGATGCCAATAATCTGAATGATAGTCATTTAGAAAACTCAAAGTTTTCTTCTTTTTATTGTACACTTATTTCTGGCTGTCATTAACATTTAATGGTTAATATCATCCATCCCTAAATTGTAAGCCTTTGTTCCCAGATCTTGTAATAATAGTTGTTGATGAGTTTTCTTTTTCTTTTTTTCTTGCGTTTCCACTACTGCTGTTATTCTGCTAGGAAATACAAATTTTGATGAGATCCTTTTTGTTGTTGCTGCATGTTAAAGAATTTTTTTTCTTCTTAAATAGACTTCCTATATTTTTAATCAGCTATGTATGTACTGGTCAGAAAGCTAAGGGTTAAAAAACATTTTTCAGTCTATTAAAAATAATTTTAACAAGTTTATCTTTTATGTGTACATATTCTTCAAAAATAATTTGGACATGATGTGAGCAATTCTCTGCTACTCATTAAATCAGCCAGACTTTTTTTAGGCTTCCGTGCAGATTTGAAAAAATATGTAGTTGTCACCTTTTTTAGGAATTGTCTGCTGAAAGTTCATTTGACTTTTAAATCTAAACCTGAAAAAAAAAATCAGACTGCTGTAGTAAATGCAGGAAGGTGTTGAGCTGGCACTTGTTTGATGTTCAGTGTCCTTCTAGAATCAGTGTTTCTCAACCTTGACAATTTTAAGGCATGTGGACTTCAACTCCCGGAATTCCCCAGCCAGCATTGCTGGCTGTGGAATTCTGGGAGTTGAAGTCCACATGCCTTAAAATTGTCAAGGTTGAGAAACACTGTTTAATCTAGATAATTTCCCAAAACATGATTATCGCTATGGTTATCATGCAGGCTATTCCTGAATGTTTTTTCTCCAGATCTATTTAAGAAGAAGGATCCCGTTAGCTTTGAAGCCAACCTGTTTTCAAAAATAAATACTAGTACTTACTAGTACAAGCTACCTCAGACGGATCAAAGTCAGACCGGTAGTATCCGTTGCGACAAGTGCAGATGGCAGCAGCTTCTGATGTGGAGCGACTATTGGGAGGACATTGTGTGCAGATTCCTATTCCTTGATGAGCTTTGAACATCCCTGCTGGGCAAGCTACAAGAGGAAAGAAAAGACACCTTTTTTTGAATCAAGATTATATAGCACACACACAAAAATTAAACTTGCTTTGATACATGTTACCAAAAATTGTTGAAAAATGACATTATCATAGTTTTAATGTAGCATTTACTCCTCTAATTTTAATAAAATTCATGAGGAAATGTCTTGAAAGCAGGCAAAGAGATAACTAATCTATGGATAACTAATCTATGGATGTCTTGGATTGACTTTGTTGCTTATTCACTTTGCTTCTAAACCACATAAAAACTACAGCTGTCTGGTAAACCCAATAATGAAAAAGGACAAGAATCAGGATAAATCATCAACTGCAGTTATAATACAAACAGCATTTATAACATCCTCATAGTTAAACATTGTTAAGTTATAAAACCCCTGACTGTATTAAATACTTAGAAAAATATTAATATTTTCTCTTGTCATTGAAAAAAAATTAAACTAGACCCCTGACAAATATTTGTAGGAAATGAATTCAATAAACATGGCATTTCTACTGAAGTATCCTTTCTCTTTTTAACTCTAAATTCATTTAATTTGATAGAGGCATCTGTAGAATAGACTTAGATGAGCACATGCATTCTAGATTAGATTAATGTTTAAGAAACCTTTTTTCACAATTTTTCAAGCTAACTGAAATGGATAATGCCAGGACTTTGTATTGAACCCAGAACGGAATCATAGCTACTGCAATTGGTAAAGAACAGGCATAGAATGTGATCATGCTGTATGTTCCGATTAGCGATCTAACTGCCCTATTTTAAAATCTGCAAAAACTCACAACTTTTTGGTAAATATTTTATGAAAGAGTCTGAAAGTTTCTGAAAGTAGGAGACAGAAAGCACCATATTTGCAGCAATCCCTAAGTAATAGGAATTGGTTCTGGGTCTCCTTAATGCCAAGGTATTCTTTTATGTTGTTTTAACAGTGAAATGGGTGGCATATAAATTTAATAAGTAAATGAATGTTTATAGCAATCTGAGGGGCCATATTTTTTTGCATTTATAATATTAAATCTGAAAAGTTATCTGATCAATTTTTTTAACATGGAATTCAGGGCTGTGAACTAGTCTGAGAAATAAAAAAAATCCAGAAGGAAGTGGCAAACAACCTCTCTGTAAAAAATCACATATATCCTTACAGTCATTAGAGATAAAGCTCAATTCAAGGGCATATTTAATTTTTTAATACCATAACGGACAATTCTTCAAAATCCAGTACAATTCTCATTCAATTTATTATTGTACCATTCTGCCAGCTGAATTGACCAGCAATAACTCCTAAGGGAGCTTATTCATCATAAGCATACTGATGACATATACACTGACCTTTCTATCCAAGGAATTTTGGTGATATGTTATGATGGAAATCCTGACCAGATCCTGGAAAGTGGAAACTATCAAGATTTGGAAAGGGTCTAAAAAGTTGATGTCCAATCCCAGCAAGACTAAACTGGTGCTTGTATGGAAACCATCTGGTTTTTTTGTATGCTCATGTGGTGCTCTAGATACAGTAGTTCTGAGAATCATGGAAATAATTAGATGGAGGCTGCGCTCACTTGTTGGCAGAAAAAATTGCTTTTCACATATAACACTAGTACTATAGGCTTTCCATTAGTTACCACAAATTTCTATGTGAAATTCAAAGTGTTACTTTTCATGCACAAAGCCCAATTATAATTCTAGGATTATTGCTTTGAGTAGAATCTATCCACTTAATCTACACATCTCATGGGGTGACCCTGAAAGTTCACTACATGGGAGATTTGGAGGCAAGGACTATAAGCCTGTGCTTGTCAGTAATGGTCTCAATTTTCTGGAACAGCTTTCCCAAGAGATCCTTATGGCATTCCCATTTCCCCATATTAAGGAATGTGTTCAAAACAGAGTTAACACGTCTTACCAATTTAAGATCAATGGATACTCATCATCACATTTTGTTTCATGATATACTGTATTAACTTATTTTAGTTTCTGTTGTAAATCACCATGAATATTCAGAGGGCTTAACATTATAAAAGTTAAACAAAGACCGAATATCCTGCTTCTACTAAATATCCTACTAAAGTAATTCAGATAAATATCTGTTTGAAGAATTCTAGTAAAATATCATTTTCAAGCTTGCAAATGGAATTATTCCATTTTAATGTCTTATGTGCTCATGGCTAGATATGAATGGTGTTGTAACAGTTTGTTTCTTTCACAAACTACCCTAAAACTATCCCAAAGGTGTTTTTTTCAAAAAGCAACTGGACTTTCTTGTTTTTCTTCAAAGACATCTGAAGCGAAATGTCTTCGAGGAAAACCAAGAAAGTCCAGTTACCTTTTGAAAAAGCACCTTTGGAACAACCATGACCTGGATGACTAAGAATCTCCATAGACATTTACCCTAAAACTGCTATTGCTGTAATTCTTATTCAATTTTGATGCAAACATAAATGGTGGCACTGGCAACTAGTCTAACTAGTATTATTTCCAAGTTAATCAATGCTTTGTACTGATCTGTTAGTATAGTAAAGATTTTTACTATTCATTAATGGTACAATGATAATATGAAACTCTTGCAGTTATAATCGATAGCATTAGCTGTTGGTGTTCATTTGGATTCATTTGTAATTTCTCCTTTTTCTGTGTAGTAGCCTTGGAATCAGGCATCTAAGACATCCATGCAAAGCCACTACTATTTATCAATACTTTTATAGCACATATATTTTTATATGGCACATTTCTTCAGAAGTTCAGGCCATTATGTTTAGCTAACCCTGCATAAATGATCAGCTGTCAAGATTTTAGTAGCATGGCATTGCAACCTCAGTTCAGATCACCGAGAGCAGGGGGTCAACCTATTTTTCAAAGCACCCAAAGGCCAGATAAGGAATAATGAATGGAAACTGATCAAGAAGATATTCAATCCAGAAATAAGGAGAAATTTTCTGACAGTGAGAACAATCAACCAATGAAACAGATTGCCTTCAGAAGTTGTGGGAGCTTCACCACTGGAAGCTTTCAAGAAGAGACTGGACTGCCATCTGTCAGAAATGGTATAGAGTCTCCTCCTTGCGTGGGGGGTTGGATAGGATGACCTACAAAGTCCCTTCCAACTCTGTTATTCTACTCTATTCTAACTAACTATGTTATAAATGTTAATATTTTCAATCCAATTGGTAGCATTGGCAATGGGGCAGGAATTTTTTTGTATTTGTTTTTAACCAAGCCACTAGAATTCAATATTCTGAAATGCCTTGCTCTAGTTTTCTAATGCTAAGATAGAAATGTAGAATGACACAAGGAAGGCTGAGGCAGATGAGATCTCATCTTAATAAGATAGGTGAGCTAAAATTAGTAGTTAACATGAGTCCAGTGTGAATTTTTTGTTTGGAGTGGGAGGTTTTGAAGCTGAAATAAATAAGCAAATCTAAAATAAGTATAAGAAACATTAACTTGACATGGAATCGTCTGTTATAATCATAATGAAGGATGATTTGCCATTAAGAACAGAGAATTACGTAGCCTACTGTAACACATTTCTATTCATTTTGGTAGGCTGTGAATATCTGATTTACATAATAACTGAATTATAATATGCTTTACATGCAGAATATCCACATTGTGAGACAATAATCAAGATTCAATCCTTGTCACAAAAGGTAGATAAAGAAATAGGTGAGGATGGGTAAAAGAATAAGAGAACAAGGCAAGAAACTGTCTGGAGAACTGTCACATTCAACTTTCAGTTGTTCAAAGATCTCTTCTTTGATCACTTTTAACAGTTTTTCACTATTCATTTGAAGATGTCTCTATATTCATGAAAGCCAGCTATAAAATCTTTTAGCTTATCCCAAATTGCAAGCATTTCTATACAGTAATATCACCTTAATATGTATTCAACAGAAAGTTAGCAATACATTCATAAACAGAAAAACTAGAGCTCTAGAGCAAAGATACAACTAGAGCAGATTGGATCTTTGCATATATCTACCAACTCTGCATACTTTGTGATGTCCAGCACAAAATGCCAATGATGGACAGAAGTGCTTGCTCCAATTACTATGGAAGATGCCTAGCCCAAAGTTGAACTAATTGTATTTTCTTTTCTCCCCAAAAGTCTTTATTTATGTATCAGTTACAATATGAAAGGAAACTGATAGATCAAAGGTGCTGTAAGGTAGTAGCTCTGAAGTTTATAATCTAAATTGCATGTATAACTGAATAAGAGAAAAACAGTAAAAGAGCTCATTGAGCTGAGAACACTAACCGAAGTGATATGTAAGCAGAAAGGCAGCTATCAAGAAATTAGATCTCTGTCAAAATAGGACGTGAGGAAAAAAAAGTTTTGAAAAAAGAAAAAAATGGTCTTATTTTTGAAAATGCTCCTTTCAGAATCCCAAGTGATTCAAATACTGCAGCTATTAGCTAAAATAACAAAAAAGGATCCTTATGATTCTACCAACTGGAATTATATATTCTGGGTTCAGCTGTTCTTACCATCCTTTTATTTCTAGTTTAAATGATAAAAACTAGAGATAATTTTATAAATCCATTTATGCATTTGGTCTATACAGTGTTTAGGATTTGATTCTAAAATGTACTTGGGAGAGTATGGGGGTACAAACATAGCACCTGTCTATCACTGTCAATTAGCTGCATCTTTTCTTGCACTAATATAAATATTGGCATAATTGGTTAGTTCTTACTTTTTCCTGTAATTCATAGATCCCATAACTGCTATATTTATGATTTATCTGAACAGGCAAAGGGGACAGGCACATTTGAAAAGGAGGATAAATGGGAGGAAAAACAGGATACACTGCCTAACTTTGTGACAAAAATTACAGTAAAGAACTGCCCCTTCAAGTATTTAAGACTACATGTAAATGAAATTATTTTTTCCAACATCAGGAAGACTGGTTTTTCAATCACAGAAATGTGATAGAGCCAGTAAGGAGACAAAAGCATTCAGCATGTAGCTGATTAAG